CAAAATATTTTCAAAATAGTACCAAAATATATAAGACAGTTTATACGGAATTTTAGTAAATTTTATCTAGTTTCTGCTAAGCTTACTAAGAAAGAGTGTCCCGTACAAAATTTTTGAGTTATTTGAAAAATTGTAAAAAAAGTGTTCCGAATCTATGTATTGTATGTATATAAGTCAAATACATTAGGGCGAGCAGTTCAAACAATTTAAAATTTTTGTATCAAAGTGTATAAAACAGTTTATATATAAATATAGTATATTTTATCTAGTTTATGATAAGCTAACTAAAACAGAGTGTCTCGGAACTGTTTTTGTTTATTAAAAAATTGCAAAAAAATGACAGAAATTTCTATATGTACCTATACTGAAATGTGTACTAAATATATAATACATGCGTGTTAAGCTAGTTTTATTACAAAATTTTCTATTATAAAAGTGTATAAGCTAGATATTATTTTATAATATGAAATTTTATGTAGTTTCTGGTAAGCTATTTGAAAAGGGGGCTATGGACAAAATTTTTGAGTTATTTGAAAAACTGTAAAAAATGCCCCAAATATTTGTAGGCAAACTTAAGACAATATGCAAAAACGAGTTCACATTAGAATTATAAAAAAAATCGTATAAAACTATATTAGACAGTTTGAAAGAAAATGTAATAAATTTTATCTAGTTTCTGCTAAGCTAACAAAAAAAGAGTGCCTGATACAAGATTTTCGAGTTATTCACAAAAATGTGAAAAAATGTCCCGAAACGTTGCATAGAAAACTTATAACAATATGTAAAAGCGATTTTATATGGAATTTTTCGAAGAAGTTTGAACGAGACTATATTTAACTGTTGATATGAGAATTTAGTAACTTTATCTAGTTACTGCTAATTTAATTTAAAAAAAGTATCCTAGAACAAATTTTCGAGATATTCTCTAAATTGTAAAAAAAATGTCCTGAATCCTTGTATGGTAAGATTAAATAAGAGAGAGTTCGAATTGGAATTATTCAAAAATTTTATATAAGATTATATTACACTGTTTATACGAAAATATGATAAATTTTATCTAATTCATACTAAGCTAACTACAAAAGAGATGAAGGATTAAAATATTTGAGTTATTTGAGGTAATCTAAAAAAGTGTCCTAAAATCATATATTGCAAATGAGCAAGATAGATGCAGTTCGAGTTCAAACTATAGACATTTTTTTATAAAAGTGAATAAAACAGTTTATACCAAATTTTAGTGAATTTTATCTAGTTTCTACTAAGCTAACAAAAAAAGAGTTTTCGAGTTAGTTGACAAAATGTTAAAAAGTGTTTCGAAACCATATATGATAGAATTGATAAATATATTAGAGCGAGTTCAAGCTATTCAAAAATTTTGTATCAAAGTGTATAAAACAGTTTATACCAAATTTTAGTAAATTTTATCTACTTTCTGCTAAACTAACTAAAAACAAGTGCCCGATACAAAATTCTCGAGTTATTTAAAAAAATGTCCCTTATTAACACTAGTTGTATTTTTGAAACCTCAGTGCACAAATCTTTTACAGTCTTTTCCACGTATTTTTAGTAAGTTCAGTAGGTCGTGTTTTATACAAAGTAATATCGCAAACTTGCTTCTAAACCGTTAGTTTGGCATTTGACAAGGTTTGTTGCTCTTTACTAACTGAGGTGCCCCTTTGGAAATAAAGATGCCATCGCAAAATGTCACCACTTGTTGTAATAATAAAGTATTGTGTAATAGAACTCGATTTGAAATTTATTGTATAATATTAAAATATTTAAAATTAAATTATCTACAATATTGTCTAATACTAAGGTGACCTACAGCTAGTGTTAGAACGAAATATCGAGTACTGAGTAAATATCGATACTTCGCGGTCGATAGTGAGTACTTTTGGTATCGATTTTTTAGCTCGATATATTTGCCAATATCGATCTTTTACGTCGATAGTACTCAAAAAGAATCGACAGCGTAATCTATGAACCCCACTTATCGACCAACTACGAAAACCAACCATTTTGCCGAATGCAATGCATAGTCTCTCTAGGTTTAGTCTCAGAATTTATTGCTCAAAAACCCAAAATGGATATGACCACACTAATAAATAAAGATGTTTATTTATTACTCTTTTGTAAAATGAAACGCCTTTTTAAAGTACCAAAATGTTTTATAAAAACATATTCAACAATCGAAGTATGATTATTTCAAATAATAATATTCATCAATTTCAATATATTAGTATTTTGCGTAAAAAAGAATCGAAATATAATTATTTCAAATAATAATACTCATCGATTTCAATGCGTTATTATTTTTCTTTCTAAAAGTATGTGAATTGTAAGTTGAAGTAAAGTACTTGTAAATTAAAAATTAAAAAAATATAAATATAAATATAAATAAACAATTTAAAAAAGAACAGAAGAGCAATATTTTCTTTGTGGTACGTGAATCTTAAAATGTCTCGTTTTCAGTTTGTGCACATTATGAACATATTTTAGGAATCGGATTTCAACTGACCTTTTCTGAATGAATGACAACAAAACTTAAGAATACTTTCTTTAGTATAGTGGGCAAAAAACTTTTAGAAAATAATAAATTAATTTGGTTCTTGTGGCAATTGTTTGCACTGAAAAATATTAAAAATATGATTGTGCTTAAAAATACTTAAAAAGTATTGCTTTTTGAATATAGTATCAGACTATTATATTGTTTTAATCAAAAATAATCAACTATTATAACTTGTCTTTTTTTTGAAAAATTATAGAATTTGAAATTAGTATTGAAAAATTACTGTTAAAATTTTACAATATTGAAAATGATTCTGATTTAACACATCAGATTACAAGCAATAGAATTCATTCTAATATTGTGATATGATATTTAACGAGTTTTAGATCTTTTTCGCACTTATGTTTGATTTTTATGAAAAGTACTCAAAATTCGATATTGAGTACTATCGATACTTTCGCCACGATATTTTTTTGGCATCGATATTTTGATTAGATACTTTTCAAAGTACTCAATATCGATCTTTTGCCTCGATACTTCTAACACTACCTACAGCAACTCGGTATACTTTAAAATCAACATAGAAAATGACGTAAGAATATATAATGCATAAAAATTCAGTTTTTTTTCTAACAAAGTCTTCAATAACTTTTTAAATTGTTCGACAACTTGGAATGAAGTGTTAAGGAAACTTTTACAGCATAAAATTATCTGATATTTGTTTTAATATTATATAACCCTACAGCAACTAGGTATACTTTAAAAATGCATTTGAAATCAACTATCGCGCCTCGCTTTTAATACCACAAAGATAGTATTTATTTTGAGGTATTTGATAGTACATTCATTTATTTATGACTCTTGTAACTTTTAAACTATTCGATTTTTATGAATGGTGTATTTGGAAAATTTATACAAAATTAAATTATCTACAATTTTGTCTAACATTATGATGACCTACAGCAACTCGGCATACTTTAAAATCAATATAGAAAATGACGTAAGAATATATAATGCATAAAAATTCAGTCTTTTTTTTCTACAAAATCTTCAATAACTTTTTAAATTGTTCGACAACTTGGAATGAAGTACTGAGAAAACTTTTACAGTATAAAATTATCTGAAATTTGTTCTAATATTGTAAAACCCTACAGCAACTCGGTATACTTTAAAAATGCATTTTAATATTGACTATCACGCTTCATATTTAGTACTAAAAAAATTATGTACTATTAAGTGGAGTATGCATTAATTTAGTTTGACTCGTGTAACTTTAAAACCATTCGATTAAAATGGATGATGTATTTGGAAATTTGTACAAAATTAAATTATCTATAATATTGTCTAATATCAAAATGATCTACAGCAACTCGTTATACCTCAAAATCACTACAGAAAATGACATAAGAATACATAATACATAAGAATTCAGTTCCTTTTCTAACAAAATCTTCAATAACTTTTGAAATTGTTCAACAACATAAAATAAAGTGTATGAGAAACTTTTTTATTACTGAATTATCTACAATTTGTTCTAATATATTAATGCCCTACAGCAACTCGGTATACTTTGAAAACGCGTTTGAAAATTGACAATCGCGCCTCATAATAGTGTAACGACGATATGCGGTATCAAATGGTTTGTGCATTTATTTATTTTAATTCGTATAACTTTTAAACCGTTCGATTAATATGAATGATGAATTCGGACAATATATTCACAATTTAATAAGAAACATTATTGTAGAACACCAAAAGCAACTCGGTATACTTTAAAAATGAATTTCAAATCAACTATCGCGCCCCACATTTATTGTTAGTTCCAGAACGTTGTGTAACTTTTAAACTATTCGATTGATATGTATGATGTATTTAGAAAATTTGTACTAAATTGAATTATCTATAATATTGTCTATCATCAAAAGTCTCTACAGCAACTCGGTATATTCCAAAAACGTCTTGAAAACCCAATAACGCATCATCATTTCTCAAAAGTACACACGTCCCTTATATCTTACATAACTCCTAAACCATTCGATTAGTATGAATGATGTATTTGAAAAATTTGTACAAAATTAAATTATCTATAATACTGTCTAATATCAAAATGCTCTACAGCAACTCGGTATACTTTAAAAATGCTTTTGAAATCAACCACCGCGCCTCACATTTAGTACCACGCGTAACTTTAATATTGATTTTGACGCATTTGATAGTGCATTCATTTATTTTAATTTGTGTAACTTTTAAACCATTCGATTAGTATGAATGATGTCTTTTACAAATTTGTACAAAATTAAATTATCTGAAATATTGTGTAACATCAAAATGCTCTACAGCAACTCGGTATACTCCAAAAACCTATTGGAAACCCGATAACGCACCATCATTTCCCCTAAATACACACGCTCCTTGTATCTTCCATAACTCCCAAACCATTCGATTAGTATGAATGGCGTCTTCGACAAATTTGTACCCAACATCATCAACATCAACATCCCCAAATTTTGTTTCTTAACAATTATCCACTTACCCTAGGCTGGCTTCTTTCCTAGCAGCATTCGCCTGTCTCCGTCTGGCAACAGCGTCATTCCTGCCAACCCTCCTCACTTCTTCACCGTCGCCATCTACTGATTGCGGATGCTCCTTCGGTTGTGGTAAAGTCGGTGCACCTTTTTTTAATAGGATTTCCAGTTTGCTCCGGACGTCGTTGCCGTCATCGTCCGGAATCCGAAAACTTTTAATAGTCCTTTCAGTCCGGGTCATTTTTCTGCGTTTGTTATTGTCATTGTCAAGAGTTTTTTTGGAAGACAGTTCCAGGTTTTTGGAGTTCTCGCGAAGGGTTCTTTTGGAGTCGTCGTCGTCTGTGGAGTTGACGTCTTGGTTTTTGATCCTGGAAAAAAATTAGAAGGTTTGGTATGCGGATTTGATGTCTAGGTCATTTTTTCACCTAGAGTAGTTATAGTAATGGGGCAAAAAGCAAAATAATTTTTGCATTTCTCGACGTTTTGAAGGTTTCTGAACATTTTTAAGGCATACCTCAGAAGAAATGTATGTGTGAAATTTGAATTTAAAATTTCAATAATAAATATTCGAAAACGAAGTATTGTAAAAGTGTTCTAAATGTTGACACTAATAATACATATCCCGCTAAACAAGATACTTGTTCAAGCCCTTGTAAATATAATAATTATATTTATTAGATATTAAATATATTCAAAATGTTGATCTCGAAATGTAATTCGATTATTCAAATGTAGATGTGATAATTACTAGATATATATTTACTTATTAAGAGATTCTATAAATATATAAATATTATGTAATATCAGATAAAAAAATATTATAAATAAATGTATGTGTATATAAAATTATATACACAATAAATGAATAAAATACTTGAATGGTTTAAAAATCATTCGATCGCTATTGATAGGGAGATGTGCTGATTAGTTTTTGGCAAAGGCAGGTCCCGCCATTTTGAAGATACGGAGCAAAAAGTGTAGAAAATACAAATCGAGTTTTTGAGAGAACGTAGTATCGAATTGATTGATCTAAAAACATTCAATTTGTAATGATTGGGAGAAGTGGTGATTCATTTTTGGCAAAGACAGGTCCAGTTGTTTTGGAGATACAGAGCTAAATGTGCAACAAATGGCAGTTTTTGAATGAACTAAGCGTCTGATTTGAATGATCTAACTAAGCAAATTGCTGGAATTGCTGGATCTTAAAAAGATTAATATTTTTGAAAAAAAAATTACTCTGAAAAAATATAAATTTTTGACAAAAAATTACTTTTTTTTGAAAAAAAAAAAGACTTTTTGAAAAACAATTTATTTTGAAATATTTTGTAAATTCAGAACTTTTTTTCAAAGCAATTTACTGATTTAACTGCATAGAGACAAAATATTGAAGCGCGTAAGCGCCGCGTCGCCTTCTGACGGATAAACATTGGTACGGAACCCATAGAAATGTAAACAAAATTTATACTTATTGTTAAAATCTCTATAAAGTATCTGACAAATTGATGTGCATAAGTCTAATGATCATTTTTGACCGCCAAATGGCTTTTTTTTTTACTTTTGCCACTAGATCTCCGAAACCACTAGACCTGCCTTAATGAAAATTTCATCAGTTCTTCATCTTGTCAATACAAACAAAATGTTTTTTGAATTATCAAAATCGGACGCTCCGTTCTCTTAAAAACTGAGTTACCGTTTTTGGCACTTTTTGCCCCGTATCTTTGGAACGGCTAGACCTGCCTTCGCCAAAAACTAATCAGCACGTCTCCTTATCAATATGAATCGAATGTTTTTTTGAATTATTCAAATCGTTTCATCCATGTTCCCGAAATCGTCGACGAAACGTAGTATCCGCACACACACATACACGCACACACACATATATCCATTTTTTCTAAGTTTCTTTTTTTCAAAATGTTCAGAAACCTCTGAAACGTGAAGATATATAAAAATTTTCATTCTCGATTTTTTTGCGATCACTATAACTTGCCCTACGGGAAGTTAAAAATTATTACATCTTTTTTTATTTTCCATAAAATATTTTTGTATTGTAATTTTGGATTAAAAATTCAAAAAATTTCCCAGGCTAAGCGCAGTCTAAGCGCCACTCTGGTACAAATGTTTTCGCAAGTGCGTTTAGACTGTTTATGCACTGGAGCACTTTTCCAATTTTGTGAAAAACTTTTTGGTGAAAAATGTGAAAATGCCGCCAAGCTAAGCACAGTATAAGTGAAAATGTCGCACAGAATTATTTGCAAATGCGTTTAGACTGTGTCTGAGCAAATTTTCAATTTTGTGTAAATTAAGGCAACTATTTTTTTTTTTTAAATTGAATTCGGAATGAAATGACGATTGGAGATAAATTGATTTATGATTTACATTTGATTTGCTCGGATACAACAAGATAGCAAAAGTGATGAAAGTTACAGTATTTGTTATAATTTAGTTGAAAACGTTTAAAGTTTCCCGAATATTTCATTCCAGCAATTTGCCTTAAGGCACGATGCCATACACCACTAGTTACCTTCTGCCATCGTCTGAAGACAAATCCGAGGCGACTCCTTCGTCAATCGGCGAATCCGAGCACGAAGCAGCAGTCTGTTTATCACAATTGGGCGTACTGGCAACTTTGCTGCTCCTGGAAATTTTTGGACAACTTCCCAGCAGCATATTGCTGCAATCGTCCTGAATACCACTGTCTTCCTTCAACTTTTGCTGATGCTGCTGGTGCTGATGTCGACTTGTAGTCGCTGATTTTATGTTCCTGGTCGATCCTGGTTTGATCTCTATCGAGTTAGTGCTGCTTTGATCTAAAAAATTAAAAAAACTTCAAAACACTAATTGTAAGTGTTTTATATTTTCCACAAATATATTTTTATAATTTTGGATTAAAAATTTAAAAAAATTCCCAGGCTAAGCACAGTCTAAGCGCCACTCTGGTACAAATATACTTACAAGTGCGTTTAGACTGTTTTTGTACTGGAGCACTTTTGTGAGTGTATGTATGGGTATGTATATTGTGTTGACGATTACGGGAGAACGCATGAACCGATTTGAAAGATTCAAAAGACATTCGATTTGTATTGATGGGGAAACGTGCTGGTTAGTTTTTCGCAAAGGTAGGTCTAGGCGTTTCGGAGATACGAAGCAAAACGTGTTAGAAATGTTAATGCAGGTTTTGAAACAACGGAGCGTCCGATTAGAATGATTCAAAATAGATTTTGCTTGTAATGGCGAAATGCAGAATTGTATAAATATTTGCAAAAGGCAGGTGCAGTAATTTCGGAGACACAGCGTAAATGTTTTAAAAACTGCCATTTGGTGGTACAAAATGATTATTCATAGTGATTCATAGCAAGTAGAATTTTTGGTAGAAAATTACTACTATACTATTTATAGTACGGTCTTGTAATTTAGCATAATTATTTTTCAAAATTTCTATTTTACCAACAAATACTAAAACCGATGTATTTTACAATCTAGTTTCAGTTATTAACAATTTTATAAACATAACCACAAAATTTGCTCGTTGGTATCAACAGGCAATTTGTTTAGTATTTATTTGATTACTACTATACTATTTATAGTACAGTTTTGTAATTTAGTAAGATTATTTTTCAAAATGTCTATTTTAACAACAAATACTAAAATCGATGACTTTTTACATAAAATTTTCAATTAAAAATGATTTTATCAAAATTTGTACGTCTGAGGGCAAATTGCTCTATAATACATAAATGGTAACTAATTTGTTTCTAAGGATTTTTAGATCAGGGTTATTTGATGAGCTCCTCAGGACGCACCGTTTGTACTACAACTTTGTAATTTCAATATGTTGTTTCTCAATGGGCTTACTAAATACTAATAAAACTAAACTATATAGTTTCTTAACAAAAAGTATTGAATATTTGCAATTATCTGAACAAAGTACGTAGAAAAGCTCTTGATCGAAAACAGAACCATCTTATTAAAGGAGCTCCTCAGGACGCACTGTTTGTACTACAGCTGTGAAATTTTAGTATGCTGTTTCTCAATATGCTTACTAAATACTAAAAATACTAAACTATATAGTTTTTTAATGAAAAGTATGCAATATTTGCAACTATCCGCACATAGTATATAAAAAAACCTTTAGTCTTATTAACAAAGTACGTGGAAAGCTCTTGATCGAAAACAGAACCATCTTTTTAAAGGAGCTCCTCAGGACGCACCGTTAATACTACAGCCTTGAAACTTTAGTATGTTGTTCCTAAATATATCAGCTAAAAATAAAAAATACTAAACTATACAGTTCTTTAATAAAAACAATAAAATATTTGCAAATATCTGCACAAAGTACACAGAAAGCTCTCCACTAGCTCCTTAGGACGAACCGTTTGTACTACGACTTTGCAATTTTAGTATGTTGTTCCTTAATATATTTACTAAATACAAAAAATACTAAACTAAATAGTTTTGGAATAAAAAGTATGAAATATTTGCGATTATCTGCATAAGGTACATAAAAATAAACTGTCTTGAAAACAGAAGAGTCTCATTCAAAGAGCTCCTTAGGACGCACCGTTTGTACTACAGCTTTGTAATTTCTGTATATTGTTCCTCAAAGTGTTGACTAAACGTAAAAAATACTAAACTATATAGTTCTTTAATAAAAAGTGTGAAATATTTGCCACTATCTAACCAAACTACGTGGAAAGCTCATGATCGAAAACAGAAACATCTTATTTGAGGAGCTCCTCAGGACGCACTGTCTGTCCTACATCTTTGTAATTTCAGCATGTTGTTTCTCAATGTGTTTACTAAATACTAATAAAACTAAACTATATAGTTTCTTAACAAAAGTATTGAATATTTGCAATTATCTGAACAAAGTACGTAGAAAACTCTTGAAAACAGTACAGAGATTCTTATTTGACAAGCTCTTCAGGACGAACCGTTTGTACTACAGCTCTGTAATTTGAGTATGTGGTTTCTCAAAGTGTTTACTAAATACTAAAAATACTAAACTATATAGTTTTGGAATAAAGAGAATGACATATTTGCATTTATTCGCACTAAGTACTTAGAAAGCTCTCAGTCTTATTACACGAGCTCCTTAGGACGCACCGTTTGTACTACGACTTTGTAATTTTAGTATGTTATCTCTCGAAATATTTACTAAATACAAAATATACTATACTATATAGTTTCTTAACAAAAAGTATGAAATATTTGCGACTATCTGCACAAAGTACATAAAAACTCTCTTGTCAGTCTTATCAAACGAGCTCCTTAGGGCGCACCGTTTGTACTACAACTTTTATAATTTTTATAGATCAATTACATAATGTTAATAAAACCCATCAGTGTGAAAACTTACAAGTACAAACGACGCAAATTAATATTATAAATTACACCACACGGATTTGAGAAAATAAATGAAAGTGTTCTTGTAATGTGCATGTAATGTGTTATTAAATCTATTCATTCATTATTGCGAATGAAATCATTACAATTACAATTACATACATTCACATTCGACGAGTTTGGATTTTAGGTCACAAATGGGTGCCCACGCACAATACGAGAAATACGAGAAATGTCGACATTTTTTGGAGGTAGAAGTTACTAAATATATTCTATTGTTAATGTAAGACAGATGTAGTACAAACGGTGCGTCCCAAAAAACTTTGATTTATACACGGTCAACCTGTTTACCTGTGTACCAATAATTATATTTGTATGTGAATCAACAGTCATAATTTTTATTGATCATTTTTCACCAGCAAATAGAATTTTTTGTAACTTCGTCCGAAACCACAGGACCTACCTTTTCTAAAAATGCAATCAATTATTGACTCCCTAAATACAAGTAAAATGTTTTTTGAACCATTCAAATCGGACGCTCCGTTCTCTCAAAAACTGCATTCACATTTTTAACACGTTTTGCTCTGCAAGTCCGAAACGTTTAGACCTGTCTCTTTCAGAATCTAATCAACAAATCTCGCCGTCAATACGAGTCGAATGCTTTTTGAATCATTAAAATCGGTTCATGCGTTTTCCCGTAATCGTCGACGAAAGGTTGTATCCGCACATACATACCCATAAAAACACACTCACGCACACATACAATTTGTTTCAAGTTTTCTTTTATTTTCATCTCGTTCAGTAAGATGTGTACTATTTTCACGTTCTTTGTTTAGATAATCGCAAATATTTCATACTTTTTATTACTTAAACTATATAGTTTAGTATTTTATATATTTAGTAAACATATTGGGAGACAATGTACTAAAATTACAAAGTTGTAGTGCAAACGGTGCGTCCTGAGGAGCTCGTTTAACAAAACTGATAATGAGAGCTTTCTATATACTTTGCACAGATAATCGCAAATATTACACGCTTTTTATTAGTAAACTATATAGTTTAGTATTATTAGTATTTAGTAAACACTTTGAGAAACAATATACTTTGATTACAAAGTTGTAGTACAAACGGTGCGTCCTGAGGAGCTCGTTTAATAAAACTGATCTAAAAATCCTTAGAAAGAAATTAGTTACCATTTATGTATAATAGAGCAATTTGCTATAGAGGTACACGTTTTGATGAAATCATTTTTAATTCAAAATGTTGTCTAAAAAGTCATCGATTTTAGTATTTGTCGTTAAAATAAACATTTTGAAAAATAATATTGTCAAATTACAAAACTGTACTATAAATAGTACAGTAGTAATCAAATAAATACTAAACAAATTGCCTTTTGATGCATTTGAGCCAATTTTGTGGTTTGTTTATAAAATTGTTAATAACTCGAACTAGATTATAAAAATCATCAATTTTAGTACTTGTCGTTAAAGTAGACATTTTGAAAAATAATCTTGCCAAATTACAAAACTGTACTATAAATAGTACAGTAGTAATCAAATATATATTAAACCTTATGATGCATTTGAGTAAATTTTGTGGTTTTGTTTATATAAATAATTAATAACTCAAACTGGATTATAAAAATCATCATTTTTAGTATTTATCAATAAAACAGACATTTTGAAAAATAATATTACCGAATTACAAGGCTGTATTATAAATAGTATAGTAGTAATCGTACAAATACTATACAAATTGCCTTTTGATGCACCAGAGCGAATTTTGTAGTAATTTGTTTATAAAATTGTTAACAACTCGTACTAGATTATAAAAATCACCAATTTTAGTATTTGTGGTTAAAATAGGCATTTTAAAAACATAATATTGTAAAGTTATTACACTATTTTGTAATAAAACCTAAAAATTCCACGCGCGAAAACAGCTTTATATCCTAAAGCCGTCATCACATGTGCACGTCCCCATACAAAAGTCTTTACACTCTTCATAAACAAAAACGCAAGTGTGGAAGAGCTTTAGCTTAAAGCGCGCTTCACATTGTGCAACTTAAATAAAAATTATATAAATAGACAATTATAAATAAGTTAAAATGTTTTTTGATAAACTTGCGTGTTGTCAACATATTTATAATAATTTTAGAATTATTTCACCAAAAAGGCTATTTTTGCACAAAATCCAAAAATCGTTTGATTGGTAATTTTTGACAATTTCCTTTATCCTTTTTCTATTTTTACTTGTCAAAGTCTTCCTCCTAAATTGGTCCCTGATTTTCCTCAATTTTGGAGGCGTAGCCTGGCTGTCGGCCGTCGATTTTCTGCTGGTGGTGCTGGA